CAGTATACTGGTACCTGAGAAAGAGCAGAGAGAAAAGAGGAGGGAAGTCTGGGCAGGAAGGGCCACTGAGAGGACTGATATGTCAAGCAGGAGAGTACATGTCAATCAGGGAGCACCAAAAATGACTGAGCAATATCTGAGCACTTACCTGTCTGCAAGTATCTAGAGGCATCATTAGGACTTTAGCACCCTTAGGTTGAGAGATCAGGAATAAAGGTTTATGTAATTGACCATGTGTATCAAGCTCTGACAGCACTTGTCTCAAGTTTCCTTCCAACCTTGCTCATTGAAGAGTCATTTTATAATTCAATGAGCTATTGCTCCCTGGGTCACTGGATCATTGAACGTTGTGGAAGAGCTGGCTTAAGGTTGGCATTTTTATATTTTAATTATAATTATCAACCTAGGAAAATTAAGGAGAATTAAATAAAATACTTGCAATGCAATCATTTGAATATAACATGTTATATTGGCATAATGTGTGTATTCTAATGGAAAAACATATACATCCAAGTAATGTATAGTATAAAAAAAGACATATTCATTTAAAAACAGAAAAATGTGTGTATGTGTGTACTTGATAAGGATTAGAAGGTGGTACAAAACGATGCAAAGAGTTGGTTTTTTAAGTGTTTGGCTAATTTTTCCTAAAAAGGTGCAGATACTCCTTCTTTCTTTTTAAGCAAAAATTATACTTTATTAACCAGATACAAAACCATAGAACTATAAATGTTTGACCTGGAAGAGTCCTTAGAGGTACCTCATCTATTTTGGCTCTTTCAATGTTGACATGCAAGTGATGCCACAGGCCTGGAGGGGAAAAGATCTGTTGGAGTAACAGGCTAACTAGTCCAGGGCTGGAATAGCACTAAATCCCATCCAAGCACATTTTCCACCACAGTTCCTCCCTGCATTACCAAGAGTTCAGATTACCTTATTCTGCTGGAAAACATTAGATAACCTTTTTTTTTAAAAGGAGATTTTATTTATTTATTTTGAGAGAGAGGGGAAAGAAGGGAGAAAGAGAGGGAAAGAAACATTGATGTGTGAGAGAAACATTGATTGGTTGCCTCTCACACACCCCCGACAGGGGACCTGGCCTGCAACCCGGGCACGTGCCCTGAGGAATCAAACTGGCAACCTTTTGGTCTGCAGGCTGGTGCTCAATCCACTGAGCCATACCAGCCAGGGACAGGTAGCTCTTGAACAGTCTATTTTGATTTCATATTTGGTATTTAGTTAAAATACTGATTTTAGCATTAAAGTTGACCATATTTAACAAGTGTTAAATTTTAAAATAATTTTTCATAGTTTTCAAGGTGAATGGTCTTTTTTAAAAATTTTTTATAAGATAATACAATGTTTAGACAACTGTGGAAATAAAAATTTTCTAAATTACTTGATATCTGCCTTCATGTCTTCTAGAAGTGGATGGAGGAGCTTGTTGGTAGTAAAGATTGCTTTAATAACACACCCTATATTCACAAATCAAACCATCATCTCAGCTGTATTTAGAGTGTGGTGGGATGGGAGAATAGTCCAGAAAAGCCTTGAAGTCTGAGAGAATTGTTGGAAGAAGAGGCCTATTTCTTTGGGACTTAACAGTAGACTTGCCAGAGAATCACATTGACCTAGGAGGAAGTTTTAGGGTCTAAAGTTTTGGGCCTACATTACAAACACCAATAACATTTTTTAAAAAAGGGAAAAAAAAATCACCTTGTAATTCTACCACTCTAAGACACTAATGGCTTTCATTTTCTTCTGTTCACTTTTAATCCTTGATTTTATGCGATCATTTCATGTAATTTTAAATAACAGTTAAAATTCTGCATCCTTTAACTCAACATTATATTATGAACATTTGTCTTAGGGCTATTTTGGGTGCAAGGAACATTCACTTTGTCAAGTTAAATTATCTCAGAAAAAAAAGGTATGCGTGCGTGTGTGTGTGTGTGTGTGTGTGTGTGTGTCCCTAATCTTACAGAAATGCAAGGACAGTAACCTAAGCAGTGAAGTTCCACAGGAATTGGAACTGCGGCTGGAAAACCATCAGCTACTGAAGTTGTTCTGTCAGGGGCCTTCAGTGGGGTTCCTGCTTATCTTTGCATTTCTGTTCTGTATTCTCATAATTTCAGATGTGCATTGCCAATAATGGCTACCCTAAACTACATGACTTTAGAGTTCCACAGTTTTTAATCATCTCTCTCTAGATGTTTTATAGTCAAATCCTGAGTTGATTGGCCTAATTTACCTTTTCCATTCAGTTAGACCACAAACATCAGAGGTTTCTGCTCAGCCTTGGATTGGCTGTCACCAAGTGGATACACCTTGGCCCAATTGCGCATGGCAGGTGAGGTGGAACACATACTATCGATGTTAGCTCTGCAGACAGCAAGGTCATATGCAGAAACAACACCCTCTCCCCTAGCAGTGAGTGTGGGTAGGTAGGCACCAGCTCCCATATGGTTGTGTAGTCCTCATAACTACAATTTTTTTAAAAAGGTTTTATTTATTTATTTTTGGATAGGAGAAGGGAGGGAGAGAGGGAAACATCAATGTGTGGTTGCCTCTAGAGTGCCACCTACTGGGGGCCTGGTCCGCAACCCAGGCATGTGCCCTGACGGAATCAAACCAGTGACCCTTTGGTTCACAGGCTGATGCTTAATCCACTGAGTCACACCAGCCAGGGCAATATCTACAAATTTTAATGAATGCCCAACATTATATCAAATGGCTGTTCCTTAATTTATGATCCCATTCCTCTGTTGTTTTAGTCTAGCTCTTTTCAGTTTGGGGGCTACAAGTAAAACTAAGATGAACATTTGTGTATGCATTGTTCCCTTCATCTAGATTATTTAAAATAATCTTTGTTTATTATTTTTATTATTATTTTTAAAGTCCTCACCCAAGAGTATGTCCATTAATTTGTTTTTTAATAGAGAGAAATGAGGGAAGAGAGAGAGAGAAACATCAATGTGAGAAAAACATCAATCAGTTGCCTCCTGTATGTGCCTGGATTGGGGATCAAACCTGCAACCTAAGTATGTGCCCTGACTGGGAATTGAACCTGCAGCCTTTTGGTGTATGGGACTATGCTCCAACCAACTGAGCCATCTGGCCAGAGGGATAGTCTTTAAATTACATAGAGATTGAATTCTCTCAGCACCTTTGGTTTGTTTGTTTGTTTGTTTGTTTAAAAAGTGCATTTGCTAGAGATTTACATGTAGGTAGTTTTGGGCAAAATAATAGGCTGTGATAACTGGGATTTGCTTCAAAACACTTTAGGAAAAAAACTGGGGGTAGTGGATGATAGTTAAAACAAGGTTAGTGAAACACTGATGACTGTTGAAACTGAAGATGGTACAGGGGGATTTATTAAATACTACTGTCTTTATTTTGTTGTTTTCCTCCCACTTTCCCTCTCTTCCTCTCCCTTCTGGATTTTTTTGCCCCCTTCCCCCCCACGTTTCTTTTAGATATTTGCTGCCTCATGCTGCCCTCTAGATTCACATTTTTTCCCCCTCAGAATCAGTCATCCCTGATACCTGCTTCACAGTTTCCTTTATCAAAAACTTCAAGTCCACCCTTCTATCCAACCATTCAGTAATTTGTTCACATAAAAAAATTCTGAGCTTCTGTTTTGGGCAAGACACTAGAACAGGTGCAAAGTGTAGTCACTTTCATTGTTTTACGTGTTGCCAGATAGCCGTTAAGAGTAATGCAATCACAACTTCTTTTGTACTATAAGAAATATATAGGCACCTTAACACTCTTGGGAAGAGCTGTATTTTATAAGAGAAGCCAAGTGCTCTCTGGTGGGGTAGGTAGTGAGAGAAAGCCCAGGGCCCAGCGGCAGGCAGAGCTGAGAAGGGAGGGTCTTCTCCTTCAATACCTGCATTCTCCCTACTGCCTTTTTGCCCAGTGTTTTTCAGCCTTTAAGAATTTCAAACCTGGTGGGGCGGCGGCGGGGGGCGGGGGAGGCAGAGACAAATGTATTTGAAAAAATAAATTAAAATTAAATTAAAAAAAAGGAATTTCAAACCTGGAACTACATTTTGAGATCATATTTATTTAGTAAAATGAAAACTATATATATTAAGATCCTTGGAATTTTTGTAACCTTTAACATAAAGCATTAAAGAGTCTCTAGTGCTTAAGGAAATTAATATTTTATATTCATGTTGAAAAAGTACAAATCAAATCAAATGGCTTAACTTTCTATTCATTTCTCAAAGCATTAGTAGATTATAAATGTTATGTGAGCTAAATGAAATGTAGGATAATAATTCTGGGGTCTTTCTGATTTTGAAAGTCACAATAAAAAATAACAACCCCAAGGTAGGTCCTGACTCCCTGAAGTTGGAACACCTGGAGGTGTGACTGTACAACCTTGTGGGTACCTGTGTCTTGCAGGGTTTGAGACTTTCTTAGAGCTCCTGTGGCTTCTTCACATGCCTCTACCTTTGCATTCTTCATCTTGGGTTATAATTTTATTTTAACTTGTCATTCTCCCTTACTGGTCTGTGATCCTCTGTGGGAGGACAGAGATTCTATACTTTTCAATGCCTGGAATGCAGTTGGGCCTCAGTTAAATATGAGTTGAATAAAAAATCCCCTCCCTCCCCCGAAAAAGCCGTTTTCTTTTAAAAATGCCCATAAGTCCTCCCCCAATAGACTCACTTCATTCTTGTACAGATCCCAAGATGGTCCTATTCTTCTGCCCAACTCTGAGGACGTCCTGATGACAAAGTAAATGCTTCAAGGAAACTGCCTGCCAGAAACTCAAAAGCCCAAAATGGTCCCCCTGCAAAAGAGTGCCTAATGTAGAAGGGGGCACCCGCTGGGTCATTGAGAATATGCCTTCATCTTTCTCTTTCCAGAAACAGGGTGGTTAACCTTCGAACTTAAACTGTTCAGTGCTTAGTTTTTTCAACATAACTGATTAAGGATTTCCAAGTACAAGTTAGTAATTAAAAATCCACAAATGATTCAATTCAAAATTTACTGTGAGAACAGCAAGTCAGCAAAAGTTTATTATTAGGCACACAAGGTAACAGGGTAGTATATGGTTAAGTGCTTGGGCCAACTCTCCTTGAGTTCCTCTCCACCGGCTTCTGCCATCAAATTTCCCTTCAGTATTTGCAGTGGTTTCCCTTGGTGGGTTGGTTTGTTGTTATGAGAGGAGGGTGGGATGGGGAAAAGGCAAATCAAAAGGAGGAACATGGGGTGAATGCAGCCTCCCTTTAGAGCCTGTTACAGGAACTCGGGGCAGTTCACGTGATCCGTGATAGTCATTTTCTCGATGTCAATGTTATTAGAGGTCAGGATATCTTTTAGATGCGTCACTGTTTCTAGAGGGAGATAAGGGTTTCTTCCCATGATCCAAACATGATCTAAGTGAAACAGCCAAATGATTGTGGTACAGGAGTACACGAGGGCGTAGTTCTCGTAGTCGGTGGCCAGGACCCAGTACGGAGCTGACGGCATCACTGAGAACCAGAGGAGGGCAGTATTATGAAGGACCAGAGTAATAGAAACCTTCATCTTTAGGACCTGGAAGTCACTTTCTGGGGTCCTGGTTCTTCTAGATCAGTGGTTCTTAATTCTGGCTTCATGTGGAAACCATATGGGCACTTTGAAAAATAACTGTCCCACTCCCACTTGTAATTCTAATATGCAGCCAGAGTTCAGAGCTAACATTCTGGATCTTCCCTGATAGGATCTGGTAGCAGGGTGGTCTCAGGAAGCCCATAGTAACTGCTGAGTTTGGCTGGACCCCCTAGACTGACAGGTTGTACTTAGCACCAATGCATATGGAGTTGCTACTTAGCAAAGCAGAGTCAAGAATGCAAGGTCAGGGGCCTCAAGCTTTCTAAGTTGGTACCAGCCAGCTTCCTATAGAACTTGACCGAGGGAGGACGCAAGGGCTAACATTGGTTTCTTTGTTTTTCTTCCTGCCTGCTCTTTGAAAATCCTCCCATTCTTAAGACTATGGTAAATTAGGTGGCAACAGGTTATAAGCTTTTCCTTACAAAAGGTCTATAAGGATTCATTGATTGATACCTGCATAGCATTGAAAGCCCAAAATTAAAAGGGTCCATAAGAGGAGAGGTGGGGTATTTACACTCTCTATCTGAACCCAGAAATTTCCTCTGTGAATTTGACCTCCACAGCCAAGCTTCAAGTGAAGGAAACGGATAGCATAGCTTGTTAAATTCAAGTGGAAGATGAACCCGCATGGGAGAGAGATGTGTGCTGACCTCATGAGAACAAAAGACTTGCACACATATGCAGTCCTAGGTGATTTGCTTTCCTGAGTTTTAAGCATCTTACCCCCTCCACTCAAAAATAATTTCACTGTTGCCAAGTTGAACCAGAGCTAAGCTGCTGGACAAAGAAGGCAGTGTGAGTGTGGTTAGAGTTTGGCTGGGGATCAAGGACCCAGATGATTATCAGGACCACCCAAGAGGATTAGTTCAGATGACCACCCACTAAAGTACCTCCTACCTCTCACTTTCTATCTGTTTACAAATATAAAACAGAAAAAGACATGGAGGATGTCTGGATGGAAGCCTGGACAAGGCTGCAGGAGCTAAACTGAGTATTGTTTCTCACTTACATTTCTAGCATGGTTGGCGTCACCTGCCTGGCTCACTCATGAGAGCATATATTCATATATATCTGCTACTGTTGAATTGCAATTGCTTTGTGTATTCCACCTGGACTGAGAGCTTTTCAGCCCTAAGTGACATGTCAGCAACAACATTGTGCCCCACTTTGCACACCCTCAGGCATACACATTCTGTCTTCCTCCCTATAGGGTCTAGCACCCAAGCATAAATTTACCCAGATATTTTCCTTTTAGTAAAGAAAACTTCTATGTCTCCATTAGAAAACTTTGACAGTCTCTTATTTCTCATGGAAGAACATTCAAACTCTCCAACATGACATTAGAGACCTACCCCACCTCCACCCCCAGTCTTGTCTCCTATGCCATGGAACCTTCAGGCCTTTTTTCATGCCATTCCCTCCACTTGGAACATCCTTTCCCATAATTTCCCATACACCCTGCAAAACCCAATGCAAATATCTAATCCCTTCAACTACAATAAATCTCTTCCTCCTCTGCTTCCCCAGTCACCCTTGCCCCTTTCAGTTCCTGTTGAAAGCTTCCTTATGAAGATTGTACACATACCATTTGACCTTGACTCCCATCCCCATCCCTCAGTTGAAAGTTTGGATACCTAGGTTTTAGTCCCTCTAATTAGTCCAGTGACCGTGCCTATATCACCTAGCTTTTCTTTACCTCACTTTCTTATTTGTAGAAGTCACAAGAGAAACTGACCTGTACAAAGCCCTTTACAACTTACAGAGCATGTGTTATCTAATTTATCTTCACAACAGTAAGGGTAGATGTGAAATTAATTGCCCATGGTCGTATGTGTGGGAGGAACTGTTCTCTCTTCCTCTCAGTATTCCTATCTCGGTCTGTAGAATAAGAAATTCCTCTCTGCCCCACTCTAGGTCCTTCATCTGTGGGGGAATGGAGGAGGAGGGTAGTGATTTCTCTTGCATCTAGTGACTTCAAGAACTGCCCCAAGCACTTTTGGCATTAGAAAACCTCACAGTTCTGAGCTGAATCCTCCAGTGTATCTGTATCAGCAACAAAACTAACGTGTGATGCTTTCCCTGTTGCCTACGTGCATTCCTCAGTTAGCCCAGAATTCAGAGGGTGAATGCCTGTGATTATATATCTCTCCGGGACCCCAACAATTACTTTCACTCTTGTCAGTCTCTTATCTCTATGCTTTTGTACGTGTTAGTTGTTCTGCTAATAACTATTCATTTTTCAGGCTTTAGTTTCCACTAGGAAACAAGACTGGATTGGACCTCCTACTGCTTCAATCTCTGCTTCCTCTGTTGAAAATCTCACTGTAGTTTTATAGTAAACTGCCTGGGACAAGGGTCAGCCCTGTCTTCCTCATCATTGCATCTCCAGCTACTTGCCTGTTACCTGGAATATGGTAAGTTCATAATAAATAATTCCACATTGATTCATAATGGATTACACTCAGATGTGACATGAGTGCTCTGGCCCAGGGCTCTAATCCTCAGTGTGCCTATCTCCTGTCCCTGAAACCTTCTGAGAGAAGCAAATACTTACACCAGAAAAACTTCACTTCCAGCTTGGCAGGCTCTGTGAGGTTGACCGGGGAGGCTTCACCTTCAATTTGATTCACAGTTCCATCAGATCTACAATGAGTTAAAAAATAACCTGAACTCACTGAAAGCCAAAAATCAATGAAAGGCAAGATTTGTTACACTAAGAACTATAGTGACCACATTATGATTTCTGGTTAGAGGGGATCTTGAAGGCAGGTTAGACTCCTGTAGTTTCATTCTTTCCCTTTTACTTTGCGACTGTCTCTGACACCAAGCGGAGGAAGATAGACTTGAGGTGATGAGCAGCAGCGATCGCAATGCTCCAGGACTGGATACTATGTTAGGCCCTTGCACTTTGACACTGTCTTTTGGACTGTATGCAATGGTCTGCAAAGCTTCAGGAAAAGGAAGTAAAAATAGAAAGGAAAAGCCAACAAAATAATGCAGTACACTAAGAATTCACTTTTAAAAAATGAATTACCTCTTAAAAAACAAGACTAAGCCAAAGAAAGAAAAAACAGGAACAGACTTGATTCCTCAAAATAATGCAAAACATGAAGTCAGGAGATATGCAAGACCCTCTTTTGGCCATGTGACATCATCTTTCCCGTAAAAGAGTTCATACACATGAACTCTGAGGCCCCTTCCAGTTTAGCAAGCTTCTGATTGTGTGTGGGAAGTTTTGATGTAGGGCCAGGTAAAAGCAAGTGGTAAGCAAACATTTACCTTATTTCAGTGATTTGTGGGTGCATTCAGATCTCAGAGATAATGAATATGAAGAAATGTGCATCTTACAATTAATACCATCCTACACTTAAAATTGGCAGTGTCATTTCTTTCTTACTGGTGCAAGATAAAATGGTATAAATATAAAAGCGATGGTCTTAGGTTGTATGAAAAATTTGTACTTTTTTGAGGGGAGCTGACTCCATTCCTGGAAAACTCCCAGGGACCCCGTGGGCCCAGGGCAGAAGGGAAAGACCTGGGGATGGAGGCAGCACACATGGCAGGTGCTCAGACATCAGGGGGTTCTTCTTAGAAAGTCAGGAGAGGAGCTGCTTGTTTATCAGTCCTCAAGGGGACAAACTAAAATTAGAGGAGCAAGAGTATGTGTCAGAAAGTCAGTAGGCTATGGTTAGTGGTGATGAATGTCCTGGAAACCATACTATAAGCACCAGGGAAGGGAGGGTAGGAAATGTACTCGGATGGACCTGGGTGCATTGTCTGTTTGTCATTGAATAGGGCCGGAGACAGCCCTGCTCTCTGACCTGGAACTCAGCCATTGGGAAGATGGTCCATTTCTATCTGCACACAGTTGCTTAGCAACAAACCAATCTTTTCCCATCAGGCTTTTCCTCTTTTCACTATCATTTGCATTCTGCCCCAGAACACTTTTTAGAATACCCGTTTCTGATCATAAACTCACTTGTTCATGGGAAAATGCATGGATGTTTTCAAGGGTAGCAGCAGATCGACAATAATAGGAAGTATTTATTAAATGATTGCTATATGCCAAATACTGGTCTAACTGCTATACGTGCTGCCTCACTCTTGCTCACAAAGACTTTCTGGGTGAGGTGCTATGATTATTGCCATTTTACTTAGGTAGACAGGGAGGCCTAGAGGATTATTACAAGTAACCGAACATGAGGTCATTAGTAAGTGTTAGAACAAGGATTTGAAAATGGGCAGCTTTTCTCAAAAGCCTGAGCCCTTCAGCTCCCAACCCTGTGTCAGCTGCTTTGTCCTGCCAATTCCCTGACACTGGCTAAAGTTTTGCTCAGACTCCCTGCTGTGGTTTCCACTCGCTCTGCAGTATTCCTGGAAGGAGAATCTAGAACTAGCAAACTTTTCTTCACATCTCTTTGTACCTTAACCAGGTGTGATCCTAGAGGTAGAGTGACCTAACGCTCAGGATCTCGGCCAACTCCAAAGGAGAGGTAGGGGATCACATAGGTGTCGGGATTTGTGTCATTGTCTGACTCTTGGTCTTCAAATGGGACAGAAGATTTGCAATAAAGTCATTGCAACTGCAGGGCCTGCAAAATTCCTGTGAGATCTTCTGGGAGTCTACATCTCCATTCTTGCAGCCCTTCCTGGGCACTGAAATGAGCTGAACTTTTCCCTAGAGGTCCTCAATATCCTTACTTTGTTTCTTTGGTTTATGGAGAGTCAGAGAGTCAACCCATTGTGCTTTGGCTCACAAGAAGCTTAGTGGGTGGTAGGATGGCCTCAGAAAATCCTTCTGACTCTAAGTAACTTCCAGGATGGGCTGTTTTCTTGGAGGTGAACACAATTTTCAGATCCTCTAAGGAACTGGAAGAACAACCTTATGTACCCACCTTTTCTTTTTTCTGTCTCTGGTTCTCTTCCCCTGGGTTGGAATCTCAGCTTTGTTATTTACAAGCTGTGTGACACTTGGGCAAATTACTTCACTTCTCTGTACCTCAGTTTCTATATCCATAAAAATGGGGTTAATAATAGGACTACTTCAGGATTGTTTTGGGATTAAATCAATATACAGGGTGGAGCAAAATTGGGTTTACAGTTGTGAGTATGTGAAACACAGAGTTTATTCTTCTATCATTATTTATTAATTATTGCATTATTTTCCATACCAACAATTGTAAACCTACCTTTGCCCATCCTGTATATACATACCCATACATAGAGGTAGTTACACATGTGTATATACATATTCACACAGAATAGTGCCTTGCACATAGGAAATAATTAAAAACTGTTAGTTACTATTTTTCTTGTTGCTCTTATCTTTGTTGATAGAGGGTGGGTAGGAGTTTTCCTGAGTCTTTTTTAATTTTATGGTTGCTTTTCAAAGTGTGAATTTGGGGGTCAAACATCAATCTGTAAGAAGCCCTCAGTAATAGGAAAGTACACTTCTATAGGATATCCTATTCACATAACCTAGAGTGCAACTACTTACGTATTTGATCCTAAATGTATTTAACCATTAGAAAAGGGGTCTTCTAATGGTTAAAGCTGTCTGGAGATGGGATAAACTGACATGGATGGTGATGAGCGCCCAGTTTCCTAGAGGCATCAAGCAAAGCTGGCTGCGCTGTCAGTAGATGATAAAGAAAAGGCTTCTCTCTTGGTTTGGAGGTAAGACAAGATGGTCCCCGATGTCCTTTGCTACCAGAGTCTTCATTTACAGTGAGAACAGGAACCTGCAGTTTGGGTTACCACTGAGTCCCTAGTGCCTCTCACAGGATCCAGTGCCAAATACATGGTCAGCAAGTGGTCATGGAAATGAGTGAATGACTTCTAATCCCCACTGTACTGCCTGCCAAAAGCTCTCCTCTCAAGGCCTGTTGTGAGCAGGCAGTCCAGACCTGGCAATACTCAAATCCTCCCTTAACTAGACTGCAAGGACACCTAGTCACACCAGGACCGTTCTCTGCAGGGTTGGCTCCAGGATATGCAATGCCTTTGAAACCACAGCTACTCACCTCAGCTCCTGGTTTACCACTTTGATGTTTCCATTTTCCATTAGTGAGTAGTTGGCTTGGATGCAGCTGCCCTTCTCAAAGCTCACTGGGATCTTCTCAATTTCATACCATCTTCCAAGATACTGCAGAGACAACAAATAGAGCAAAACCCTGTGGCTCTCTGGGGACCAGCAAACTCTTTTCCTTTGTTGTCTTTCAGAGCAGAGCCCTTTCTTGGGGGAAACCAGGAAAAATGGACTGCATTGTTTCCAGTAGCAACTGAGCAAGATATTGATTCAAAGGGGAATAAGTGAATCGGATGTGTGGGCACTGGCTGAATGCCACATTCTATTCCTAAGGTGCTCTTTACTTAGATACACTCTCAGTGTCCACTTCAGCCAAAATCTATGTGAAATTTGAAGCTCTGTTGAAGGAAGAGATTATTCTAGATCAGCGATTTTCAACGTATGTGTGCAAGAATTTTTAAAACACACAATACCTTACTATTTACTTGGGGACACAGGCCTCCTTCCCCATAGATTGTCAAATAAAAATATGATAACAGCTAAAATAACAATAGCTACCGTGTGTGAATGAATCAAAATTATACCTATTTTTTGTCAGACCAGCAAAAAAAAAAAATATATTTTTTTTGGTGTGCCACAGAATTTTAGTAATTAGTTTACATGTGCTATGAGATTGAAAAAGTTGAAAATCGCTGGTCTGGGTGATGTAAGGTGCCATCTCAAATGTTTTATGATTCTTTGAGGCACCTTTGAATTGTGTACAAAGTCAGATATGTTCACCATGAGATTATAGCGGTGGTTGAATTCTTCTCATAGAACCTCACACAGGGGGTTGGTCACAAAGGCTTTTGGCAGATGATCAGGATTTTTTAAAATCCTCACCAGAAGACATTTTGTTTTTCATTGCTTTTAGAGAGAGAGAAACATTGATGGGAGAGAGAAGCATTGATTAGTCACCTCCCCTACATGCCTGGATCAAGATCATATGTGTCCGCACCTGAACAGAGATGCAAACCCACAGCCTAGGTATGTGCCCTGATCAGAAATTGAACCTGCAACTCTTTTGGTTACAGGATGACACTCCAGCCAAATGAACCACACCAACCAAGGCAGGTGATCAGGATATAGATGGCCTGTATTATTCTTCCACTGGAAGCGTGCTCTCAGTTCATAACTTCGGTGTACACAGGCAACTTTAAAGGAAGTGTGCAACTGTGTGGGTGAGGACAGGCACTCTCCTGTGTCCATATATTGCCTTGCACAGAGACTGAATTAATGTACAACTTTTATGGACTATGATTTGGCAATACCTAGCAAAATTAAATATACACATAGTCTTTGGCCTAGCCAATTCATGTCTGGAAATGTATTCTCTGATAATTAGAAATGATGTGTATGTAAGATTATTTATTGCAGTACAATCTGTAGTAATAAAAGACAGGAAACAGTTTCAGTGAGCATTAGTAGGGGATGGGTAAATAAGTAATGACATTTATACAGTGTAATGTTATACATCTTCTTTTAAAAGAGTAATATGAAATTATCTCTAAGATACAGTTAATAAAAAGACCAATGGTATATATATTAAGCTACAGTTTGTGTAAAAATTAGAGAGTTATTAGTTTTTTATTCCTCCTGTAATAAATTGCTGTAAGCTTAAAACAACACAAATTTACTTTCTCATAGTTCTGGAGGTCAGAAGTCTGACATGGGTCTCACTGGGCTAAGAGCAAGATATTGTCAAGGCTAAGTTCCTTTCCAGAGGCTCTAGTGAAGAATCTGTTTTCTTGCTTTGTTTCAGGTTCTAGAGTCTCAATTTCTTTATCTACATAGGGAAATGAAATATTTAAAAAGAATCCTGGAAAGGAAGAAGTATAACTGTCTCTATTTGCAGATGACATGATTTTGTAAATAGAAAATCCTAATGAATCCATACACATACAAAAACTACTAGAACTCATAAAGGAATTCATCAAGATTAAAGTATAGAAGATCAGTATAGAGAAATCAAATACATTTCTAAACTTACAATGAGCAATCTGCAAGTTAAATTAAGAAAATTCCATTTACAATAACATCAAAAGAATAATACTTAGAAATAAGTTTAAGCAAAGAAACATAAAACTTGTACTCTGAAAACTGCATTTCTGGAAAAAATTAAAGAAGGTCTAAATAAATGGAAAGGTATCTTAAATTCATAAGTTGGAAGACTTGAGATTGTTAAGATAGCAATTGATGCACACACAGATTTAATGTAACCTCTATTAAAACTCCCAATAGGCTTCTTTGCAGAAATTGAAAAACTAATCTTAAAATTCATACAGAGATGCAAAGGACCCAAAATAGCTGAAAGAAAAAAGTTGGAAGACTCATACATTCTGATTTCAAAACCTAACTACAGAGCTATAGCAATCAAGACTGTATCATACTGGCATAAGGATAACCAAATAGATCAACAGAATAGAATTGAGAGTCCAAAAATAAACCCTTACATATATGGCCAATTGATTTTTGACAAGAATGCCAGGACTATTCAATGAGGAAAGAATAGTCTTCTCAACAAATAGTTCTGGGGCAACTGCATATCCACATGTGAAAGGACAAGTTGGATCCCTATATCATACTACGTACAAAATTTAACTTAAAACAGATCACTGACTGAGATTTAAAAATCTTGAGTAGAAAATATAGTAGTAAATCTCTATAACCCTGGATTAGGCAATGGTTTTTTAGATATGATGCCAAAAGCACGAGCAAAAAAAGAAAAAAAATAGATAAATTATACTTCGTTAATATTAAAAATGTACATGTATCCATAAAATAAAAAGACAATCCATGGAATGGGAAAAAATTTGCCAATCACATATTTGATAGGAATTTGTATGTAGAAGATATAAAGAACTCATATCTCAATAATTAAAAGATAAATAACCCACTTGAAAAATGAGCAAGGGACTTAAACAGGCACATCTCCAATAAGCACATGAAAAAATGCTCAACATCATTTGCTGTCAAGGGAATGCAAATCAAAACCACTATGAGATAACACTTCATATCCACTAAAAAGGCTATAGTCAGAAAGATGACAGTAAAAAGTGTGGGCAGAGTTATGGAAAACTTAGAATTATACACTCCTGGTGAGAATGTAAAATGGTGCGGGTCTTTTGGAAAAAAGTCTTGACAGTTTCTCAAAAGGTTAAACACAGTTACCATATGACCTAGTAATTCTATTCCTAGGTATATACTCTGGAAAACTGAGAATACATGTCCACAAAAACAAACAAGGAAACAAAAAAATCTTGGACATGAATGCTCATAGCAGCATTATTCCTGATGCTCAAAAAGTGTAAAAAGCTCAAATGATGAACAGATGGGTAAAATGTGGTATAATCCATACAGTAGAATATTATTTGGTAATAAAAAGAAATGAAGTACTGATACATACTACAACATGGAAGAACCTTGAGCACATTATGTTGGTAAAAGAAGTCAGTCACAAAAGACCTATTATATGATTTCACTGTCCAGAATAGGCAAATTCATACATAGAGAAAGTAGATTATTTACTGCCTGGAGCAGAGAATATTGGAGGGAAGTGGGGAATAACTGCTAAAGGGTATGGAGTTTTTTTTGAGATGATGGAAATGTTCTAAAATTGACTGTATTGATGATTTTTATACTAAAAACCACTCTAAACCAGTAAATTATATAGTATATGGATTATATCACAGTAAAACTTCCTTTTTCATTTTTCAAAGAATTCTTGTAAATATAGATCAATTGTAATTTCCAAAGTATCTTGGGATTTTTACTCCAAAACTGAAATGGAACTCAAATTCTCTGAATTTTTTTCTGTAAAGCCTCCTATACCTTAATAAAGGAATTAGCCCTTAATAGTTAATGGAGAAAGTCAACGTAGACTTCGGTGTACTGTATCTCCCTTCCCTGCTCCATCCCCTTCAGGCTTTGAGCTCTCTTCCCTCATTCTTTACCTAATCCGTGCTCTAAGAGGTCCCAAGACTCATTCATACTGAAGTGTGAGTGACTGATAGCATCAATGTTCCTCACAAGTAAATTTCTCCTTAAAATAGAGAGATCCAAACTTCTACTAAGGAGAATATGTCTTAATAGGGAGATTCTAGGCATGAGCTGGCAGTAACGTGAGACTCTAAGTCATGTCATCCAATAGCTGCCTCTTTCTGCTGTTCCATCCCGCTGGCCACCCCGATTTCCAGTAAGGCTGGGCCTAATTTGAGGAAGAAAAGCCTTACATAGGGGAGCTGGTTATATTGATATCTCTTTATTGTGGGTAACAAAAAGGTCCCCTGGGGAGTTCTGTCCTCTCCTAGGCCCTACTTGGGGTACCCCGTGGGTGTTATGCACTCTGAGAAGCCTTGTTTTGAATCCTGGTCTGCATTTACTGGCTGTGTGACTGAGTAGGTTACAAGCTCCCTGACATTCAGCTTCTTCATCTGTAGAGTGGGGACAACAGCACTGCAGCAGCTGTGTCCTCTCAGCCCACCTCTGGGTTACCATCACAACTCCCACACATACTGCCCCTCTGCCTCCTGTGCCAAGCAGCTTTGCCATGCGAGCTCCCATGGCCCACTTGCATCTGTCTGTGGGCCATTCTGAGGTGCATTCCACATATTTCCTCAGAAGATCCCCAGCAGGATTGAACCCCAGTATTTACAAAGTAACCTGCTCCTGATTGCACTCTTTAATGCTTTTCTGCCCTCTTTATCTCACTTTCCCTACGTGCTCACTGGTGCTTCCTGGGATCGTATTACAAAAACTCGGGGCTCTGGTTCTTGTCTCAGAGTCAGTTTTGGTGGGAACCAGGAGTAAGGTAAGTACCTACCATAGCCTTGCTAAGGCCACCAAAGCAGAACCATAAAACTGAGCCTTGTAGGGTACTTATGTAAGCCGGAGATAGCAAAACAAGGGGAAGATTAGCTTTGTACCGCACCTTATTCATATCAAAATTCTCCTGCACAGGAGGGGTCGGGCACTTCCCAAGGTGGAATGTTTGTCCCTCGGCTCCACCCAAGAGGCCAGCCAGTGCTGAAAACAGCAGCAGCAGCAGCGCCGTCGCCATCTTGGGGCTGGTGGCTGGCATTGAAACCTGCAACCAAAGGAAACAAAGCAGCTAGTGTCTTCTCTGCTATCACTGGAGAACGTTTTCTGGGCTGGCCGGTCCCCTCCAAGGGCCATCCTCCCACTCAGCCCCTCTTCCTCCAGAGCCACCTGAATCGTCAGCACTGTTGTGCGGTTCTCCTCCCCTGGAAGCCCCTCTCTAGAACCTTTGCTCCTGCATTATAGCACATTCTGCGTGGAAATGGAGTTTGTTGGAATTACTTTGCACCCTCTCTCCCTCACCTAGTCAGTCATTTTTCAAGGATGGGCACTATGTCAGATTCTCTTTGGACTCATCCACTGAACCTTGTAGTGTCAGTCCAGGTAGATTCTTGAGTGAACAGAAACAATGTTAGGGTGGGTGGGCAGGCAAAGGGAGATATTGAAGCTGTCAAGTGAACCATGAGAGAGAAAAGAATGAAAACAAACCACACATAACATTTAGTATCTTACGATTCTTAAGAGAAACGCCTCCTTGACCCCACCGTTTACCAACACAAGAGGAGGCCTGGAAACCTTAAAAAGAAGCAGCGGTTACCCTGAACTGACTGGGTTTTTAAATTTTGACTTTGCCACATACAAAGTATAATTATGTCTAATTTATGCTTCAGTTTCCTGGTCTATTAAGTGGGAATAGTAATCATACCCACCTCATGAAGTTTTGCAAGAATTAAATGAGAAAATAGAGAGCATTTAGAGCAGTGTCTGACAGAGAAAATGCTCACTAGATGCTAGTTAACTGTTACTATGAAAAGCAGAAACAAATAATTGTTTCCTGAATTTACTTATTTATTTATTTTTTACACTCTGTTGGGGACATTTTTAATAGACGTGTATTTAACTTGAGAAGAACTAGTAGCTTTCGTACAACTTTGTAACAGGCATTTCTGCCCAAAGCGCTCTTCCAGCAATGGCAGCTGCTTTGAGGAGGGACCGCAGTCAAGGGCTGGGGGCTGCAGGGCTGCTAGCAGCGTCTCAGCTCCCATTTGTTTCCTGCTTCTGTCACTGACTTGCTTTCAGGCTGCTCCCATCCAGGTGACTCCTTGCCTGTCGCTGCACGAGAGCTATTTCCAGCACATTGCCATTCTCCCTGTGAGGAGGACTGAATCAATGCAAGCAAAATGTTCTCAGACTTGAGCACTTAAAAGGATGTGTCATAATAAGAATAATTATACCCACTTTATTATGAGTCTCTAAACCTTCAAATAACATTTAATGATCAATAGCTTTTCTTCTGAAGGTTTCCTGGCCGGTTTTCAAAAGAAAAATTACATAATGAATAGAAGCTGACAGAAGGCGATGGTGAGAAAGAGGCAGTCACTGAGTCCCCCTTTAGCAAGTCTGCAGGGAAAAGGGTAGACTCACCTTCCTTAGTCTTTGAGGTTCCATTTCCCATCAGTCCTACAGCAATGTAAGAAACACCTGTCTTTTAACCTTTCCTGGTGGCTGTGCAGAAACCCAGACTAAACCTACAGAAATTTGCATCCTTTTCCAAGAGGCTCTTAGAACCACTGGAACACTACTCTTAGACCACAGTGAGGGGCACTTTCAGCACCTTGCCCAAAAGATCTAACCTCAAAGGAGGGCCACGCATTCTACAGGGTCTGCAAAACAGGACCTTTGAGGACATTTACCCAACCTCTGCCTCCAGGTGTTCAAATGAGGAAACTGAGGCCCAGAAGGGCCCCATCTCTAGCCGTCCATTCTGCAGCACCCCTGGACCATGCTTCCATGCATGCCACCTCCAACCTGATGAGTCTCGCTTCACCAAGTGACAGCTACACTAAAAGTCAGTTCCACAGGTCTTACTCTGACAACTATCTTATTACAGAATGCTCTGTTGTCAGTTAATACATGGTTGGTTGGTTTGTTTGTTTTATTTTAAGCTCTGTAGGAGGATTTCAGAGCAAGGCTATTTTCCCTTGATCACATCTGTTCCAAAGATACTTCTTTAGTAAAATAATTTCTTCCTATAGGTAAAACATTGTTGTGAGAGGAAGGGTTGATAGCATCCGTAATTTTTTCAGTGCCCTTTCCGTTCTAATTCATCCAACACTTACTGATTACCTATTGAGGGTAAACCATATTATTAATATGTACCTACAAACTTGGATATATATTACAATTTCACTTCTAATTAATATTAATGAGAAGATTGTCCTAATGATGAGAGTTTAAATACTTTTAAAAATAAATGTAATTTTTAAATTATTTTAATTGAATAGTAAATAATTAAAAATAGTTCTGTTAAGGTGCGTCCACTGGGTCAGCACTGACTCTGAGACTCACTGCTCACACTTGTTGAGCTCCCTACCCAGAAGCTTCACCGTCAGTATTTCACATGTGCCAGGCACCAAATCTCCACAACATCCTATCTGCAAGGGTCCTGCACTGAACTCTTTGTACTCAGTGACGTTAATTTGCCCAGGTTACTTCTTTATACCAACAGATCTCCTAGGACTCTGTACTCCTAACACCTGCATGTTAGCATAGACCTAGTCTCTGACCTCAAGGAACTGCAGAACTAGGATTTTAGATTTCACATAATAAAATACAATACATTTCCATGAGTAAATGGATCTTGGAAACCCATTTAGCTATTGAATCTAACAGGAAAATATATTATCTTCTGAAGAACATATTTTTGTGCCTTTTAAAAAAGATTTTATTTATTTTTAGAGAGAGGGGAAGAAAGGGAGAAAGAGAGAGAAACATTGATTGGTTGCCTCTCACATGCCCCCAATCAGGGACCTGACCTGCACCCAAAGTATGTGACCTGACCAGGAATCAAACCGGTGACTTTTGGATTTGCAGGACAACCCCCACCCGCTGAGCCACACCAGTCAGGGCAGTGTACCATATTGTTAAGTGCATTTCTATCCACGCAATGAATTCCAGTTCATTTTTCAGTATTTTACTGTAATGCACATTTGGGTAACAATTGTTTGAGAATTCATCTAGTAGAGTATTGGTGTATGGAAAGTCCTCTCACTGATTCATATAGTACAGAGAGAGGGTGCATCATGCAAGCAGAAGACTTTGAGGTGAGTCAGCATTGGGTTGGCATCCCAGTTCTGGCATCTGTTGGTGATCTTACCTCAGGCCTGTTGTGTAAGTTACCTGTGTAAGTTTCCTCATCTGAAAAATGGCACTAATAATATCTATGTATTTTGCTGTGTATAATGCACATTATTTTGCCCAAACTTTTGAGGGAAAAATAAGGATTTGCATTATACATAAGTATAATGATTACATACCATGGGTATAATAATGGACACAATAATCCTGTGTATAATGCGCACAAAAATGTGGGTGTGCATTAGGCACGGCAAAATGTGGTAGCTTGTAAATTTGTTTGAAGAAAAATGAGACCAAGTCTTCAAAGCGACTGGCCCAAGCCCTCAGTTGTGTTAGTTAATTGGCCCTCTTGGTGCAGTGGACAGTGTGTCAGTCTCATAATCGTGTTAGTTATAATTGTTAGCTGAAAAGGGGCAATAGAAAGTCAAGGCTGTCTCTATTTTAAGCATTATTTATTCTAAATAAAAATTGAAACTACAGCACATACCTTTTTATCAAGATGCAGGCAGTCCCCACATGCAAAATCATCCAATTTGAGATGTCTTGTATTGGTAACTGGCTTCCTCCGAGTTGTTTTATAAGCTTCTTTGGATCATTGCTGTTTAATTTTAATGCATGTCACACCCCCTACAGTTAAGGAAGGCTGGACTAAAAGCTTAGCTCTGTGTAAACACAAAGATAGAATGTTTTGTTCTTCTCCCTCCCCCAATTTCCTTCACAGCTGCTCCCTGAAGAAGAAACAATGCGATACTGTTTCTGCGTGTGTGAGAGAAAGACAAAGTACATTTCTTTTCCTTTTTTTCCTTTTTATTGAATTTATTGAGGCGACACTGGTTAACAAAATTATACAGGAATAAACTGCATTTCATTGAAAACATCTTTTTTTGCTATGTGGATTTTCTAATTTTCTCAGATTGTACTTTTAAGTTCCAGTAAGATAATTTGCAATATATTTTCAAACATCTGGTATTTATTTTTCATTTTTGTGTAAATAAAAAATCAACAATCCCATTTCCTGAAATGGAGCATGAATTCCACCCCATGTGGTCTCTGACCTGGAATGTGGCTCAGACAACAGAATGAAGGTTAGGAACTGGAGTTGACTTTCTATGTGATTCTGGGCATGCCTCTCACTTCCCTGAGCCTCAGTCTCCCCACTGTGAAATAGAGACCGTCATTTCTATCTCCACAGAGCTGGGCTGTAGAGTAGAAATCAGTTCCATAACAAGGCTAAAGGTTGAGATGCAGCTCCTCTCTCTGTACCTTTGATGACCCTTCCAGCAACATATTCTAGGGAGCTGTTACTGCTTGGGTTGGGGTTATGGGGTAGGGGTGCAGATTTTAGTCTAAGAGTACTTCTGGTTGGGCTTTATCTCTCTGTGGAATGAACAGTTCAGACTCTCTTACGAACTGGATTCTATGTTTCTGTGAATAGCGGAAGGTATTTTTAGTGGCATATATATATAGCAGTACTTTGTAGTAGACTTGTAACAGGATATAGAGCAGAGGTCCCCTGAAAATAGCAGAGCTAGCCCCCATAACCCTTGATTGGGGGAAGGGGGAAGTAGATGATAAGGCTAAAGATACTTTGCATAACAATGGCAAGTTAATAGCTGTGCCTTTCCTGAAGGGAACAGAACTGCTGCCCAGGGCAAAAGGTGTGCTAACTTTATTTTAAGAGCATATAGTGAGTGAATCCTGACATAGCCAGGGAAGGTAGATGCCCACCCCAGATGCCCCTTTGTCGCTGGCAACTTTTGCTCTGACTAAAAATGGCAGCCAAAAGAAGGTAAAAGATATGGGGAAACTGGCAACAATGGCAGACACTAACACGTTGTAGGAAGGGCCGGATATGAGGCCATATAGGAAGTTACAGGCCAAGCTTTTAAACGAGGGTGGGCTAAAAGAGGACGGGGTTGCCACGAGTTCAGGTATGTAAGGGGGAAATCACATGGTTTGGAGTAAGAGCATGCCATGAGGTCTGGAGTAAGAAAGAGGAGGCCTGCTGGGAAACCTATTGGAGAAGACGGGCAGCAGGGCTGATGGAGCTGTGTGGGGACCTGCCAAGCCAAGCATGGATTTGTGAGGGGTGCTTGGAGCTGAACTGTGACCAGGAATGCTCAGCTGCAGACTATTGCTTTTCTGAAACATGTTACCTCTTGAGTGGCATATTCTGTAACCAGCCTGGTTTGGCAAAGGGAGACAGGATTATGTGTTTTTCAGTTGTGTTAAAGGGAGTGGGACTGAACAACAGAAATCTGCCCTTATTCTAAATCTGTGTAACCCTTAAATAAACAACCCCTTTCCTTTTTCACAAAACCCTTGCACTGGGAGTCACGCTTCTTGACAGTGGGCAATCGAACCCCACAACTGTTTCAGAATAGCACTGGCATGGTTCTGTAACAGGCTTAGACCCTAAAGAAATTTTATGCTCACATTTGTTAGCAATAGAGAAAAATTTACATCACTGGCCTTATAAACAATAAAACAACAGCAACAACAAGAGTGAATCCTTAACGTACCAAACTTTGAGAGCTCTTTTTTGGGGAGATGTTTTTCACCTTTTGAGGAAAAGAAAGGGTTCTTATTCCCGTTCAGAGCACTGAGTTTAGGCCCCCTCTGATGCTTTCCCCTTAGAAATCTGAATACCCCCTATCGTCCATAATCCTGTTCAACTGTCATTTTTTAAAAAAGACCTTCCTGATGTTTAAAAAATAATACTCTTGTTACTATCACTTAACCTGCTTCATTATGTCCTTAAAAGATTTCACCTAAAATTACATCTTTTATTTATGTATTCCCTTGCTTACTGTCTTTTTCCCACTAGAATATAAGCTCCATGAGTGCAGATAATTTGTTTCATTGACTTATTGCTGTACTCCACATAAGTGCTCAGTAAATACTTGTAAAATAAATGGAAGGAACCTGCCTATTCAAAGAATTTACTGAGCATTCTAAAATATGCAAAGGAACTAGAGGTAATATTTAAGAGACTTCTATTTGAACTGTTTTCCTGGGAAAGAACAAGCCTGTAAGTTTCTCTGTCTTCTTTATTTGCATAACACTTGTCACCAAGAATTGCCTGACATTAAGGAAATACACACTTAGCCTCTTGTCAGCATCATAAAGAGTATTTTCCTCCACTCTAAACAGTTGCACAGGTTTTTTCTAACTGAATCTTTTATTTTTGAAAGATTTCTATTTATTTTTAGAGAGAGGGGAAGAGAGGATAAAGAGAGGGAGAGAAACATCGATGTGTGGTTGCCTCTTGCATGCCCCCTACTGGGGACCTGGCCTGCAACCAGGCATGTGCCTTACCTGGGAATTGAACCAGTGACACTTTGGTTCTCAGGCTGGCACTCAATCCACTGAGTCACACCAGCCAGGGCAGTTGCACAGTTTTTTACCAAGCAATGTTGCTGGTTTCCAAATGTGTAATGTGGAGATTGATATATTTATATAGTTTATTCGTCAGCATTGAATCAATAACTTGTGGAACTGAAAAAACTAGTCTAGAAGTCACAGCATGAAAAAAATCACATTATCTTTTTGGGTGTTATTTTTTTTCCTGCAAATGTTTGTAACTGATATAATTTAGGGAAATCCTCTCTGCATACAATATTTCTGTGATGTAGAGCCATGCACAAGTTCCTAGGTATTATAAAACAATTCAGACTGATGTCCTAAGCAAGTCTTTATTTTTCTCTTTTATTTTATTTAAAACCCACCACTCAAAGTCAATTTTTTATTTAAAAAAATTTTTTTAAAGATTTTATTTATTTATTTTTAGAGAGGGGCAGGGAGGGAGAAAAAGAGGGAGAGAAACATCAACATGTGGTTGCATTTCATGTGCCCCCTGCTGGGGACCTTGCCCGGCAACCCAGCCATGTGCCTTACAATGAGGAATGTTTAAAAAAAATTTAAAGTGTATTTTATTGATCATGCTATTACATTTGTCCCAATTTTTCTCCCTTTGCCCTCCTCTGCCTAGTACCCCCCTTCCCTCCAGTGATGCCCCACTTAGTTCATGTCCATACGTTGTGCATATAAATTCTCTGACTTCCGCATTACCTATACTGTTCTTAACATCCCCTATTGATTGTGAACCTACCCATTATGCTTCTAAATCCCTATACCTTTTCCTGCATTCTCCCCCTTTCCCCTCCCAGCTGATAACCCTCCAAATGATCTCCATATCTATGATTCTATTCCTGTTCTAGTTGTTTGCTTAGTTTGTTTTTTAGATTCAATTAGTTGTTAGTTTGTTGTCATTTTAATGTTCATAGTTTTGATCTTCTTCTTTTTCTTAAATAAGACTCTTTAACATTTCATATAATAAGAACTTAGTGATGATGAACTCCTTCAGCTTTACCTTGCTTGGGAAGTACTTTATCTGTCCTTCAATTCTAAATGATAGCTTTGCTGGGTAGAGTAATCTTGGTTGTAGGTCCTTGCTTTTTATTACTTTGTATACTTCTTGCCAGTCCCTTCTTGCCTGCAGAGTTTCTTTTCAGAAATCAGCTAATAGTCTTATGGGAACTCCTTTGAGGGAAATTTCCACCTTTCTCTTGCTGTTTCTAAGATTCTCTCTTTACCTTTAACCTTTGGCATTTTAATTATGATGTGCCTTGGTGTGGACTTCTTTGGGCCTAACTTGTTTCAGACTCTGCGTGCTTCCTGGACTTGTATGTCTATTTTCTTCACCAAATTAGGTAAGTTCTCTTTCATTATTTTTTCAAGTAAGTTTTTAATTTCTCACTCTGCTCCTTCTGACACCCCTATGATTTGGGTGTTGGCATGTTTGGAGATGTCTCGGAGTCTTCCTAAACTCTCCTCATTTCTGGTTGTTTTTTTTTTAAATTCTTGTTTCTTCATTTTGTCCTGGTTGAATGTTTATTTCTTCCTTATGTTGCAAATCGTTCATCTGAATTCCCAGCTTCCTTCTATTCACTGTGGGTTTCCTGTGGATTTTTCTTTATTTCCCTTAGTATAGCCTTCATTTCTTCCCATATGCTTTTGCCATATTCAATGAGATCTTTGAGCATTCTCACCACCAGTGTTTTGAACTCTGTATCTGATAGGTTGGTCATCTCCCCATTACTTAGTACTTTCTCTGTGGTTCTGTTCTGTTCCTTCATTTGTGCCATATTTCTTTCTTTCCTTGTTTTGGCAGCCCCCCTGTGTCTGTGTACTGGGTAGCACTGCTTTGATTTCCTGTCTTAGCAACCCCTGTTAAGTTGTATGAGGCAGAGCCTTGGATATTCACCAGGGTGGGGCAAACTGTATCATGGTTTTGTGGCTCTATGCATGGGGGAGGGGTAAAAGAGGGGACAATGCTACTGCTGGCTGACTTCTGGGGGCTTGCCTGGCACTGGCCCCTTTTCCGGTCTCTTCACCTACTTCCTGTATGTGACTGGTGCCCCTCTTACCAGCTGCTGTCCTGGTTGTGATTCCCAGAATTGGTGGGTTTTCCTCAGTTCCTGGCTCTCCTGAGAAACCGGTAGTTTCTTCTATTACCCCAGTCCCCACTGGGTTTACAACCAGAAGTTATAAGGCTTTATTTTTCCTGGCGCTGGAACCCTAGGCTGCGTGGTCTAGGCTGGGTCTGGGATCGCTCATTGACAAGATGTCCCCTGATTTTTATACACTACATG